CTTGTGCATCAGTCGGCAATTGCTGTTGACTTTAAGGGAACTAGGAAGGCAGTGAGCTTTCTGCAGGATTGCTAAAAGCAGAGATTGGAACAGTTTTTTTTAGTCTGAATCACTTGTGCTCCAATCACCGAACCAGAGCAATGAGTTGATGTCTTTGGAGCCACTAGGTCCGAAAGACGCAATGAAGGGATCTAATGCAGAGTTACATCTTCAGCCAACAGCCCTTTTGCTACGTATTATGAATTCAAAATCACTAGGTCATGACAAGCAAGTTAAAACCTTGAAATGATCCTAATGACCGAAGGCGGCTTTTACATCAGAAAGTTTGCACAAAAATATATTTGAAACCACATGGAATTCGAGTTGGAGGGATCTGCAAAGATATGTTTCATTATGCTTTACTCCAAACCTATGATAGATGACATGTTTTCATTAATTCATAGTAGAAGTTTAGAACTTATTTTCAAAATTTTAGATGTAATTCTCTTATTATTATTAATGTAGACAACATCTACACTTGAACAAATATAGTGAATATAGACAACTTTGAGTTGATGTTATGGATAGCTTGAAAATATTTTCTTGTTACTTCCTACCAATGTTTGGAATATTGCAAAATATAAAGAACATTTTTTCCCTCATTGAAAGAAAGTATTAATCAACGAAGAAGAAATTGCATGCACTTAGGATTTTCATGATTAATGATACTATCACTAGAATATAAGTCGTAGGTATAGAGTCAGCATTGACGTTGTTATCCTCGAATTTCATCTCGTCTAGGTAATTGCTTAATTAGTGATATTGACGTTCTTGCAAACATTGTTCAATAGAGGTCTGTCGTGGTGAACTTGGAAAGAACCTTGCAACCTGCCGTTGGTATTCCTCCAGCCAGCTTTTACCTTCTGGTATTCGGCAGATCATTGTAGGAGGACGCAACATGCCCTCCTACAAATTTTACCCCAGGAAAAAAGCCAGAAAAGGCTTCTACAACTTGGGTATGCTGGGAGGATATAACAATCTTTATCCTTTTTGTATACCTGTTGACGAACGGAGATCTTTTCGTTTTCGCAAACAGGAATTCCGTGCAGTTGAACTGAAACTCAGGCAAGGTCATGAAGGAATATCCGCAAATTCCTGGAAACCCCCATAACTATCCTTCTGCTGGATTTGCTGCCATGCTTCACTTGACATGGAAAATAGGCTTTGGGGTTGCAGAGACTATGGTGTGTGGAGGCGTAGGCGCTCGTGCCTCAAATACTGGAAACGCAAACGCACCCGCGTCGGCCAGTTGCGGAACTATTGTGGCTAGCTCCGGAAATTCCACTTGGGCCATGCAGAACAGGTTTAAGGTTAAATTATCATTCCATTTAAAAAATTTAATGCCATCATGAATTTGGTTAAATTATCATGGGCGACATGATCAATCTACCGACTTGGAATATTTTGATCAACAACGGTGCCCCGAACGGCAAAGTTATCAGGGATGGGGTAAGGGTTTAGGGTTTTAAGGTATTTGTTTGTCATATCAATGCGAGGATAGTGGGGATCTCCGTTAACTGAGCAAGGATGTGGTACATGCGGTGATTGACAGTTCAAGAATAACTGGTCATTGTGTCCAGAGACAATAAAGGTGGGCTGTAGCCTTGTCCTGCTGCCACCGCGGTAGTTAATTAAATAAAGCTAGACTTCACTGACGAGGTGAGATTGAAGTCCAACATGAGCTCCTTTACCTCCTTTAATATTTTACCAATTTCAAATTTGGAAATTTTAATCTTGGTAAACATTTAAAATACTCTTTGAACAACCGTAGGAATGGCATTAATCTCTTTGCAAATTTGCTTAAAATACACACTAACAATATGACATTTGTATGTAATACTATATTATTACATTGTATTGAAAGGAATGTAGCATTATCAAATCATCTTTTCATATATATATATATATATATATCTATATTTTAAAATTTAATTATATTTTATTATTCAAATTTCTTTTTACAAACTAATTGTGTATTATGTAAATTCTTGAGTTCCTAAAATATAGATCTCAACAAAATTTAGTGCTTATTTTTAAAATAGGTGCAAAAAAATGTTGGAATTTATAAATCATTTTGGCAATACCAAATATTCTAAAGAACTAATAGAAAAATTTAATGCACAAATATTTTACAAAAAAATCAATCTATTGAATAGGTAGTTTTACAAAATTTTAGGTTCAAATCAAAATAAAAAATGAAACAAAAGACAAGAATAGAAGACTTTAGAGCTGGCAAAGTTCACACATTTGTTGCTAATTTACTATAAATACCTCAAAATCCACACATTTGAATAATTACATGCATTTGAATTAAAATTTCTTTCCACAATATTTTGTAATCTCTAAAGACTTCTATTCTTGTCTTTTGTTTCATGTTTTTATTTCAATTTGATCCTAAAATTTTGTAGAACTTCCTAATCAACAAATTGAGTTTTTTATAAAATAGTGTGGATTTTGTTATCAAAGGGATTTCTTTGTATTATGGAGTGTAATTATTGTTGAAAGAAATTTTAATTAAAATGTCAGGTTGAATATTAAAATCTTCTAAAGTTTCTTGTCTTTTTAACTAAGATTTTGCTTGTAAAAGAAGTTTTAGAAATTTTTAGTATCTTTCTTTTGGTTTAATAATAGGAATTAATATTGAATTATATATATTTTTATATTATTTAAACATGTATAATATAATATTAATTATCGTATATATACTAATGTACAAGTTTCAAAAATTTACATTATCATTACAGTTGCTATAGCATTTTATATATAATTACTTGTAAAAACCAAGTAGTTTTTATTTATTTGTAAAGGCTTATATATTATTTTTTTATAAAATAAATTGATGCTTCAAAATTTTTATGTCATTTTATCAATAATAAAATTTTAAATATATATATATGTATATATATATATTTCTGATTATAAAATTTATTGAAATATTAGCATTTTTGTCACCTTTTATTGAATAATCTAAGTTTAATGAGCATTTTGTTATGCTATGATTTACTTAAATATAATTTCTTCACTTATATATGATTACCACTAAACATTACACAAGACCACAAATTTTAGCATTGGAATTGATTCTCGATGTTTTTTTTAGACTACTTGAAGAAGCCTTAAGAATCTATGCCTCTTATCTCTATTTTTTTTTTTCTCCAAAATTTCTAATATTAATATCTTTAAAATCAAAGGACAAGCTTTAATTTTTTTAAAATTTTAACAATGTATCAAATAATTGTAATTACTTATTATGTCTAAATATATTTATTTTTAGATTTTTTATACTAAATTTTTAGAAAATTATTTAAATTATAGACAATAGTTGTTATTTTTTATAATAATTCTTTAAACTCATATAGTTTTTGGTACATAATATCATTTTCGTACATAATAAAAGAATAATATTGCAAAAAAACAATGGCCAAGTTTAAAGAATTATTATAAAAAAGTAAAATATTACAAACTTTCTAAAGAAAAAGTTTTAAAAGAAACTTATAGAGCATCAAAACTTACTTCTCAACTATAAGCAAAAGCAAGAAGATTATCAAAAAAGGAGTCTTGAACTTTTACTCTTTTTGTACTGGCACATGCTAAAGCAACTATTATTGCATCAATACACAGCATGAAGAGCACAGCACCAAAAAAAATAAAATAAAATAAAATAAAATGATGTAAAAGGCTATTGAATCAAGTTATTCTAATTCCAAAGTGAACATTGTTAAAAAAAGGTGAGAAGCTTATTTCTAAAGTATCCAAAAGACCAGACCTATATCAAAATTAAGAAGTGTAAGTATAAATGTCAACTTTGATACAAAAAACTCATCCAAAAAACGTACTCTAATAGATTTGAAAAGCATTTTAAGCAATATATTTAAGCAAGAAATATTTTTAGCAAAAAAAAGTAACACATAAATTTTTTAACCATTCTAAAAAATATAAAACAAAAACCACTTATATATTTTTTCTAATGTATTATTACTTCAAACTTGCTTTTGTTATCATCTCCTTGAAACCTATTACACATACAACCCAACAAAGAAAACACTACTCTTACCTTTACTTTTTGTTTCCAAATTTTATATGCTAACTATTGTAAGGTCAAGAAAAACATGGTTATTTGTAAAAACCATGCAAAACATATAAATAAATAAAAAAATGATTATTCTTCTCTATGATCATAATTCAATATTAAAAATGTAACTTAATCACCAATTCAATCTTTACATGGAATAATACCTTGTATTACAAGTTAATAAAAATGTGGCATAATAGCTACGACATCATCTAATTAATTGAAAACTTGGAAATTTCCTCTACATTACACATTCCCATTGGACTTTCCATTCTCATTTCTCCAAAGACTATTCTCTCATGTATCTTCTGCATTTAATGCACAATTATGGCACACTCCCATGTAGTTCTCCATTCTTCTTTCTCCAAACATTGTTCTCTCACGTATCTTTTGTGCCATAAGTGCATCTACCATTAGGTTCTCCATTCTCCAATAATTTTCTCCCACAAATCTTCTGAATTTGAAGCCCTCTAATGATCCATGTGAGGATACTTTGTCAACGCACTGAACAATAATAGCACTGTCATGTTGTCTCAGTCGTTAGTGAACTTCTAAAACTACATCTTCTTCAGCTAATTCATACCAAATCTTGCCCCGGTGGTACCCATCTTCAGTTTGTTGCTACGAATCAGTTCTGCAGCTCGGAACATCGATCACAAGGTCCAAGTTAGATTTTGGCAAATCTACTGAGCAACACGTCGCGAATGCAGGACATGCACAGATCGAAGGTGAACATCAATTTGCCCATGCTTGGACGAAGACTACCACGACACTGTTATCAGATTCTGATGCCACATTCTAATTTTCCAGCTCGCAGTTGCTAAAGAACTTTCTATTCTCTTCGATTCCACGGCCTTCGCACCTGCAAAATATGGCTTTGTCCTCCTTGTTGCTGCACCTGCTTGCTACATATGTGGGTGGGAACTACCTTGACGAATTCAGGTCAAGTGTTGGTCCGTGTCTACCACTGGATCATGCATTGTACGATACATCATTTGTTGGTGAGGTCTTGCCAATCTTGGTGGAAATCTCTGGAGGTACGCTCTAAGGTCCAGAGTGAACACAGCTAGAAGTTACAAGCAAGACGTTTAGCCTGTCGCTGGGGATCCAGAGATTGCAGTTGTAGCGTAATCCTTGAAATCACTTGATCGAACCAGTATAAAAATGCAGAATTCGGTGATGGAGATCCAAGATGTAGTCAGGGGCTTGGTGGAGAAGCCAACGCTGAAGCGGCAGGCGGCAGTGCTCCAGAAGTACTTCACCGAGGATGTAGAGTTTCGTCATTTCTACATCAACACTGGTGGAGTCCAGGATTTGACTGCGATCTACCAGATGGCTGAGCTCGTTGTGAACTACCAGAGTCTGGAGTTTGAGAACATCATCTACGACAGCCGGGAGAATGCCATGGCTATCAAGATGACGGTGATGGTGAAGCCCTTGTACATACTGCCTCAAGTACCACTCAGGCTCTGTACTCTACTTGAATTCCAAGACGAGAAAGTCCAGGTGAATGGAAGTGAATTGTTGCTTACTCTTCCTACTTAAGAATTAATAGGGCTGTGCAGATTGTCTCCTCATAACCACTTTAAGTGTAAGCTCATGTGGTTTGTGTATCGTTTTCTGCGTGGCAGGGAGGTCCGACGTTGAAGAAGATTATGGTGCAGAGAGATTACTTCGAGCGGTCACCTATTTTGATTTTCATTCCAATCCTTGGAAGGATCTACGATTCCAATTCCATCTGAACCTTGGTCGGTAGCGTTCAGGCTGCGACGTTTGATGTACTGAAGCAGGGTTTTAACGTCATCTTCCCCGGGCAGTTCTGGCATGGCCTCCTGGACTTCATGAGTAATGAGCATCTATTCTAAAGTATGACTTAAAAATTCCTGAACTTATTTCTTCTTCACAGGATCGACTTTGATCCACATTTGCATACGACGGATCATCAACTTGTTGAAGATTAGTTTTCGATGTTATAATACTAGGAATATGTAGAATCAGTAACTTTTCATTTCATTTCTTTGTAGTGAAAACAGTAGACCACCTTGCTTCAACTGTTCATCGCTTTTTCGTAACCCTTCTGGATAGAAGCGGAACATGGTTCTGATTACGCACGATGCCGAGCGTAATCGGAAAATGGTGGCAATTTATATTAAATCCATAAGACGATGACTCAATCAATGACTGAAGCAAAACAGTAACAACAGTTGGTGAAAATTTATAGTTGTGCGAAACCTTTCATTGATCTTCACTCATGCTGTATGATCTTCGTCACACATCTTGTTTAGTTGTGTTACCCAGTGCGTTTCTGTACGTAAGTGACAAAAGTAAGCAGAACAGTCAAAGCCTGCAAGGAAGCACATTCTTTCATTCTCACAGGTCCAAGATGCATCACATTTTTTGTCTGATGTATCAGACTCATGTTCAATGATATCCATGTAAACCTGCACGAAAATCCCTAACAAGTTTTCTACTCTTGGAGATTTTATCTACATTGGAATTTGCAAGGATTAGATTACAGTTTGATATCGTGAAGGGTTAAGAAGCTATTTAAGCGTTTCGGTTGTGAATGCAGGAGACGAACCTAAGTTTTTAAAACTATTGCTACAGAAAGCCAACTGGACAGGTCTTTTATTGATAAGGGATTTCATTGTTGAGGTAGGAACAAATACACCATCTCAACATTTTGGGTTACAAATACTTATGGATCGACAGAAAAGCTAGAGTTATTACTCTGCAGCTAACATTATATTCCTGGAACACTATGTGAGCTTGGGTATTTCACCCTGCTTGAGAATCGTAAATGGATCCCTGCGGGTGCTTCCTCCAAAACTTTAGGAAACTCACAAACGATGAGGATTTTGATTTCATGGGATTCCGTTTGGAGCTTTTCTTCTGCGTAGATGGGGACAACTTTGCGTAAGACTACCACTTGATACCTTATCAATAGAGTAAATGAAAACTTGTAAACTTGGCCCCCTTCAACAGTCTAACTACTAACTCGACAAAACACTAGGAACATGACTGGCGAAGAGACCATCTCCAGAATCGAAACTTGCGGATATAGAAAACAATGTCAGTGCAATGTCGATGACTAAATCGTGGAGAGACCACTCACATGCACATCATCCTAGGTGCTAACAATGACCTAATTCATAGGCGACGAAAGTGGTGAAAGTTGTGCAAGTTGACGACACTACCTTACTGCAATCTGTCTCGTTTAGCTGTGGGCAAATTTTCCCCTGCACCAGTTTATCTGCTAAGGTCTCTGTCGTCATCTCACTTTCCCCCGAATTTCTGCCTGGCATTACCACGTTTGATGTAAGATATTCATCGAATACATTCCTGTTCCTGCTTCACTTTTCTATCTTCAATACATATGTTACTATGTATCTAACAAATACCACTCATGTCTTAGTAACAGATTTCTTCTGCTTCTTTTAATTCCAATAGAAGGTAAAGCATGGTACGAATAATTACAATGCAATGGATTGTTCCAATCCTCATGCAAAACGTGGATGGGTATCTAACCATAGTGTTCGGGAGCTTAACTTGTGCTGGGAGATTGCGGCAACTCAACATGCACCACATTGCTGGCAGACTGGCAACCTGCAACGCTCAAGGGTGTGATCCCAATAGTAGATTTCACTTCATTATCTATTCCTTCATTTGGATCGCTAACAGAGTGCGGCAAAGCCACAACCGCATCTCGCTCCGCATCCCCAGAGTTATCTTCACAAGCATCGCTGGAGTTTCCAGCAGCTTTATATAACCCCTTAGGGTTTATCAAGGTCTGTCCTATTTGTGGGCTAGCGCTGGCCACTCCTATTTTCGACACAGTGCATTCACTAACTGAATTTCCATTCGGTGAGTTCGGGCTATTTTCACCGGAGTAATCGACGTGATTCGGCGTTGCCAATGGCACCAGACCACAGATCGACGGAGACCTTACTGTTCCGCCGCTATTGTATGTTGACTTCGGGGAATTTAAGCTGTTGCTACAATCGGAAACTTTACCCTTAGCACCGCTGCCCACTTTCAGGAACGTCTTGTTGTGCTGCATCAAATCTCTATACCCATCAGGACTCCCTCGCTCGGGTGTTTGAGATGCAGATGTGACATAGTTGAAATATTCTATCCTTTTGTTGAGCACTTCCTGACTCCAAGGCTCAAAAGCAGCCGGATTGTCGTCATCGTCCGCATCGCCCTCTATTGGAATTGACTGAAGTTCAAAAGCATAATCCATATCACTCTTGGCTTTGGAACAGAGAGGCTCATTTCCCATTTGCGTGGATTTCTGTTTCTGTTACCAGAATTTTCATGATCACAGTTCATTTTGGATCGCAAGATACATGATAGATTCCCTTTAATCTCAATCTCAATCTTCGCAAAGGAACTGATATTTTGGATTGAGAGCATGAGTGAATGAATGAATTGGACTATTGGGAGAACGTCAAGTACCTTACATGGCGTTTTTGGTTGGAGCAATCTTTCATTTAGCATCTGAAAAGAAACTCAAGCATTGAGTTAAATGACACAGGGGGAGGAATAAACTAGGGGTTCCTAGGTTCTCTTCACAACCCACAGCGCTAATAATTGATATTTTTTTATCAAAATAGAGGCTACTAGAATATGAACGAAAGTTGTACGCTTTTAAATCAGCGCAGTGGCGCTCCTGCTATAACAATTCACTGGGGTCGAATTTAATGATAAATAGTGCACAACAGCAGCGATTGACAAGGAAATAAATGCCTTTGCTGTGTTAATCATAGCAAATATGTATGTAATTGCATGCCAACATTAGGATTTAGAGAGTATTATTTGCACCATGTGATGCGGGTCACAGTCCATCAAGTTAACTCGTCCATGGTCTCGCTTCGTGGTCCTCTGCAATTGTTCGGTTTCATCTGCCACATTCTGGACCTTCGCAACAGCCACGACAACGTGAGGTTGGGTACGATTCCTTGATGAATATGAAGCAGAGCTGCTTTAAATCATAGCAGTTTTTCACAGCCTGTAAGATAGCTAATACCAGTGTTTCTCTTTTTGTTAAATTATATCCTCTGCTATTGCAGGTTGCCGCTGAGCCCAACTCTGTTGAGACTGACGTACAACACTTGCAGCATCGGAGCTCCTCGAGATGGCTGATCCTCTGGCTCTGAGCATGGAGCCTATTTTCAGAAGAGGATGAAAGATGGGCTTGCACCTCACTGAAGGCCTTGCCATGGCGCCCAAACACGTACCCTACGACTAAGCACCCTGCTCCCACCAAAATCGGGTGGAATTCCATCCACATCAGAAACCCTCGCGGCATTCACATCCTCCAGCCGCCATCATTCCAAACACGAAGTTGTTGCAATGTGTACAGCAGGATGTCGGGGTTCATTTTCAAACAACCGTAGCATCTTTGCACGAAGTCTGAAATTCAGCTTGACAATGAGATCGATCCATTCTAAGGGGTTTCCTGTGAAGAGATTCAACAAATCTCAGCAGTCAAGGAAGTTGCGATCAGACAAGAAATCCAGCCACGTTCCAGCGCACTCCCGTATGAATACCCGGCCATGCTCCACCAATCTCATGATAGTAATATTCTGAAGCTTGCGAAAAGTACTCCAAATCACACCAGTGGGTGCTGCGGCTGCAGGAAGCCTTTATCATGCAATTTAGATCCTCGATCGCATCAACATCAGTCTCTCGGCACTCGAAGGCGAGGGATTGTTGTCGAGGAAGTCACGATGAGTAAAACTTGAGGTGATGCCAATCTGAGAGCACACAACCGCGACAGCACATTTCAGTGGAAAGTATGAACTGGTACTGAACCCGAATGCAGGGATGCACGACCGTTGTGAAGGCGAGGAAAGTGCGGCGCGTACTTGGATGAGAAGCTGAAGGATTGCTCGGCGAAGGAGGGCATGAATTCCAAAGAAGGAAGAGGGATGACGATGATGTCAAGGGGTGCAACTCCTGCCACCCACCACTGGTCGATAAGTCGGTAAGTAAGTCGGCCGCTGGCGGCAGCGAAACGCCGCATCGTGTCTGCCCTCGACAGCCTCCTTCCACTGAAGGCTCGATCCCATCCCAACCGTTCTCCCTAAACTCAAGTCTAGCAATGGTTCTCATTGTTTGCAATTTGTGTATTATTTAAATAACATGGTTCCAACACAATTGGTTCTAAATAATAAATAATAAGAGTACTGCTAGTGCCACTACGATCCCTCGTCCATCACATTCTATATTTTATCCCATGTTATATTTGTTCAATATTTTTTTATATCAATTTTCTTTTGAGTAATATATTTTCAAACCATTTAATTGAACAAAAAAATTGATTGGAATAAAAATAAAAATAAAACTAAACTAAAAAAAATGTTGAGTAGGTGGCAGGTTGTGGTGGCTGTAGTAAAAATTATAGTGACATTAGAAAAAAAATTGTGGTGACATTAGCAATACCCTATAATATTATAAAATGTTTCTAAAAACAATACAATATTGTTTTTTCAATTTAATATTATTAAATGATATTTTAATGATAGTTTCAATTTAATATTGTTAAATGATAGTTTAATTTTAATTATAGATCCATAACACATAGAAATCTCTTGGATACAAAATTCATACTTTTCTAAGTATATTTTTTAAAACTTGCTTATATCCAATTCTATATTTTTAAACTGAGTTTTCCTTTGACAAATTTTGTCGTTAGCCAGAATCATCAATTAGTAAGTAATCAAATCCTTTGGAATGACTTGAACTGAACTTGTTAATCCAAATCATAAGAACTCTAAATTTACACCCCACATTGTTCAACTAGTTGAATACCAACAGTTGAGTTTTTCATGATTCTTATGAATTAGACACAAATGTACATAGTTTTGCTATTTTTAGAAAACCTTTGGGCTCGAAAATTTCAAAAAAAATGAAAGATCCTTTGGGTTTCAGCTACTTCACTCTAAGATTGTAATACTTCGAAGTTGAAAGAGTCTTGTCTCTTCGAAACAGTGGACGTCAACGTTCGTGAGTTGCATGTGGATACAATCCAGAAATAAGGATTCTGAAGGCATTTTTTTCAATGAAAAGTGCATTATATTGTAATGCCGAAATAACATCTGTTACAAAAGCGGATTTCAAACCGACAAAAATGTCCTCGTAGACGTCAACTACCAGTTGGACAAGTTTGGGTTCTAGGATTTCAGGATTTCAGTTCAAGCTCGAATTCCCACAGAAGTTACTGGAATCGGCTAATAAACTGCAAATAGAGTTCTAAATGACGGAGATGAGACGCATCTACCAGTGAAGGTCAACCTTCGGCACCTCTAACAACAGATGTGCACATTGTGTAGTCCCTGGATGACGACGAATTCCAAGACTCTTTGTGCGACGCTCAGGAGCATTCATGAATCATGGCCGATGCAGCCTCGTGCTTCTCGAAGTAAAGCTCTGTGAATAGTGTACTCTGCTCAATGTTGGAAGACCTCGCGTACAAGACGATTTCATTAACTTCCAAAAGGTTGATGAGGTGAATTGACACCATGATTGCGTCTCCGACTACCTCCGAGCTGGACTCCCCGTACTCCACCTGGAGCATCATGTTGGGCTCACCCTCATCGTGGCACCGATTCTCAGGGTCTCGCCATGTGCCTAGCGCGCCCACTTCCGTCACAGACTGGAAGAAATTGAATACATGCGCCTTACTTCCCGGGATTGTAATCACCAGTAGCTCTCGCTCCACACGGTGGATCATCACGTTCGTCTCCACACTTCCATACAGTGCAGCCCACAGTATGTCCTTCGCACTGGAAAGAAGCTCTATCCCACGAGGCGTACGTTCGGTAGTTGTCGTCACTGCGCGCGAGCCTTGCGGTGGGGCGGTAGGCGACAAGTAGCCCTCCTCAAGTAACACGTTCCGGTGGCAGAGCGGCCATGACTTCCTGATCCACAGAAGCAGCTTCATCTCGTCCACCAGCATCATTCGTACCCTCTCTATGATGGTGGACTGGGCTTCCGCGGCAATCTTCAGAACATCCACCTTAGTCCGGCCTCTCTGCCGACGAAGGTGCTTGTTCTTCTGGCTGAGGATAAGCAATCGGTCCTTCGCAATGGCAACGCCGATGCTGCGCAGTAGGTCGTGGTCGAAGTGAGCGATGTCCTCCTCTTCCAGATGGTTGAGAACCATTAGGGGGGTGTGCTTCTGCATCCCCACCTCCGCCAACCATGAGAACCACTCAATTGTCATGGAGGTCAGAGAGAAGAACCGATCTGACGCTGCAACAGCTGTTTGAACAACTAAACTAGAAATCCGATTAGATCAGTGTAACATTAGCAGGATTCTTGTTGATAAAGAGACCTCGTATCACTCATCCAGTTCCCTCAAGAAGTCATAACTCAACATCATCTCTTAGACCGAAACCCAGTCCTATTCGCATTCGTCACAGAGAAATCCATGAATCGTGGGCAACTTCTCTCGATCTGCATCTAGCTCTCAGACGCAGCAATTCCTTTATACAAGCGTCCCACGTTCTGCAAATTCACCACAGGGCGTTTAGAAAGCCGAATCGTCCATCATGACTAACAATTTGCAGCCGCCAGAGCAGTTTCGATCTTCCTCAACATTCATCCCACCCCACCGGCCATCGAAGGCGATCGAGTGCTACACAAATATTCTAGTATATTTCCAAATCTTAACCGGTACGCAGCAGACAACAAAATGGTGGAAATGGACAGTCCTAGTACGAAAGTTCGTCATCATTCAAAGCTACATTACATACACGAGAGACAGATGCCGCTGATCATGAAGGATGCAGCAATCATCGTGAGGCAGACGCACCCTAGCCGAGCGGGACAGGGTAGACAACGGCATCACGTGTACCCAGTTGCGATCTCATGAATACCCCAACTTGCGAAAATTGTAAAACCATTCCGATTCCCTACACTTTCTAGTTGGAAATCAGATCCGGAAACCATGTACTGAACCATCAGACTACGTGGCGGTGGGCGTGGAAACATCGACGGGCTCCGTTCACGATGATTCTAACGTTCTCATCGGTCTTCTAAGGCGCGCTTGAAGTTGATATACCAATGGAGAGAATGGTTTCTTCATTGTCCTCGGCGAATTGATTGATGATTCCACTATTGAAGTTTCACTGCTACATGAACCTGTACACTACTACGGAAAATCTCACGACATTTGTGTATTGTGTGTGGATAACATCGTCGAATATGCAATTTTTTGAGAAAACTTGAAGTCTCTAAAAACAAGTCTAATTCAATCTGAAGTAGAACGATGAGCTAAAACTCTTCTACCACAAGTAAAGAGAATTGTGCTCAAACCAGTTCAGGACAAGACACTACATGAATGAATGAATCAATTTATATATATAATTTCGAAATAAGAGGTTGACGTTGAAATCTTGCATCAATATTTCATCCTCAATACTGCGTTCTCTTGGATTTGTTGATGGATTGAGACATGTTTCTCAAAGCTCTGAACTTTCTGAGAATGATGCAATTTCAACAACTATCTCTATTTTTAATGGTACATCATCGATTAAGCATTTGAATAATTCTATGTCACAATAATAATAATTAGTTGTTAAATGTATTTCTATTAATTACATAAATAATATTTATGTATTAGTTTTTTATTAAATATAATTGGTTCTCCTTCTAGTTCTTTATTTATTCATTTATTACATAATTAATTTCTTTAAACTATTAATATCTACAGCTATTTTATAAGTCTATAATTCTCATCATAAAAAGAATAATAGATAAATCTTAAAACACAACAAAATGCAAATAAAAAAACAAAAAAAATTCCAAACTTTTATTTATGTTATATTTCATATATATATATATATATATATATATATATATGTCTTTGATCCAAGGTAGCATCTGAATAAAAAAATTTAAAAATAAAATAACTACAATCCAACATCAATTCACAAAAAGTAATTAGAACATAATTATAACAGATTAATTCATAAATATTTGTTAGTTATGTATGAAATATACAAATGAGATACACATGCAAGTACTTTACTTCATGCCACAACAGATCCCAATGAATCGGGTTCATTTGAAAGAACTACAAACACATACAAGCAAATGAAGATGAAACACAGCAACAACAGAATGTATCAACACAAAAAAGAAATTAAAATCCCACTGAGTAAAATCCAAGCTGTTGCATGAGGCAGCCTCAATGAATTTATGCTTTGTCCATTTCGATGCTCATGAAGTTCCCATTGAGCGATTTAGCGATGAAAACATGCTTACTAGTAGGAATAAAACCAGCTTGATGAGCTGCAACCATGTGTTTAGTTCGAGGGGATGGTCGCACTTGAAGATGTTATACTTTCGAACGGTCAGTGCATCTGGACGTTTCGTGTCAAAGCAGCAATGAGATAGATAGATAGACGCTGATATCGAAAGTTTCGACGACACTAAAAGAGTCCTGACTTCTGCCAACACCTGACTTGCTCACGTTTCCGAGTTGGCTTTCCTCACATTTCCATAAAGGGCAGTCCTGCGATTGATTCGGTGCATAAAAGGTGTAGCGGTCATGTCATAGAATATGTGTACACGCTTGAGTTGGCAGGAATCCTGGACGATGGGATCGACAGGTGGTGGGAGGGTAACACAGGGCACAGTTGATCGGCTCCTCCACAAGCCCAATAATATAAGACGGTCCTGCGGACTTTTCTGGTTGTTGCAAGTAGCATGTCTCTTCTGCAACTGAAAGCGATTGAAGCTATTATAGCGTTGAATTGACTGCTAACTTATTCAGTCCACTCAGAACTTTCACTAAATTCGCAGAGAAGGTGAATGCGTTACAGATGCTTGCTTTTGCGCCAAATTATCCTCTGAAACAGACCCCGAAAGCAAGTTTTGATTCCGCACCTATGAGGACCCACTCATTATCCTATGTATTATAACCAAGCGAATCCATATCAAGTAGAAAGAATTATCTACTTCGCACTGAAATGCGTCCTAGGATGTTTAAAGAGCGGTGTTTTCAGTTGTGCCGTGATTCCAATCTTCTGCAGATTTTCGTGAAGCGGCAATTGGTTTCAGACCGTTGTCACATTGGTCTTGGACTTAGCATAATGAGAAATTGTGAGGATCAACCATAACTAATTGTAATTAAAAGCCATAATTACCTTGAATATAAACTTAAAGATTATACAGTAAAGAACAATTATTTCTAAGAGATAATATATAAAAAAATAAAAATAAAAATAAAGTAAAAATTCCAAATGAAATTGTTTAAATGTAAAAAACATAGAAGAAATGTAGTCTTTAGTTGAAGAGACAAACAAATCTAAGAAACAACTTCAAATGGTACAATATGAGTTTAAGATGGTATTAAAGAGCTTGAAAAATATCACACTTATTCAACAACAAATAGAGAACCAAATTTGAAATTTTAATAAGAAGTAAGCTTTAAAAGAACAAAGTCAGAAATTAAAAAATAAACTTAATTAAGATAAAAAAAATTCCATAAAAAAATCAATGAAAGTATGTCAAAGAATTGTTTTTGACAAATAGAAAGTTTTGATTCAAAATCCACAAATCAATTATAAATACAAAAAAAATTATCAACTAAAAAAAGATTATATTGAAAAGAAATATAAAAATATCTTTTTAATTATATTAGTTAGTTACAATATGAAGTAAAAAACTTATTGATATAATATTTAAATCAAGACAAAGAATAAGTTTGTTGCATGCATGAAATACAAGTAATTTTAATTAAATTTGTTCAACTTTGTATTGAAATAGAAGTACTTAAGTCCAATTCTTCTTAGAAGATCAAACTTTAAATAAAGACATTGACTAGATGACAATTAGATTTTATTGATTACATTGCTATTTTTACAAAAAGTTGGATTATTTTTGATCAAAATTTCATTCAAATGATTCAAGCATACTCAACTATCTATCACTTGTCAAATTCATATCCAAAAATCAATACACAAAAATAACTTGACTTAATTGAATTGAAGTTGATACCTAAGTGGGGATGGTGTCAACAATTGAATAGATCTTAAGATAAGAATACTTAAGTAATAAGAGAATTATATGAAGGAAAAAAAAAGAAAAGAAAAAAGATAGTGAATTACAAAAGATAAGAAAAAATAAGTTGCTAAAGTATTATAACACAATAAAAGTATTTTTTTTGAAGATTTTGTAATTTTATTTTTATTTTATTTAAAAAATAAAATTTGAAGAAAAAATTCACAAGTAATTATGGTTAAAATATTACTTTAGACTTCATTTAATCTACTAAGATTATAAGAAGTCAACAGATAGATTATGGTTTTCTCATCATTTTAGATCAAATATAGTTAGCATACATAAGATTTGATATATATTTTAAAATAAGGATTTTTAATATTAATTTATAAGAAATAAATCAATCAATTTATTGATACATATTGAAAAGTTATTTTATTTTTTTATTACATAGTATTGTATTTTTATTTAAAAAATAAAATCTTATATTTATAATCACATGATAATTTATAATATTTAAGCTTAAAATATAATTTTTAATAAATATAATAAGTATAATTTAATTTTTAATATTTACTTCTAAATAAATATATTTCTAAAATATAATCCTTATAAATTTTTAATTTATTATTTTAGTATTATTTAAATTATGTATATGATTTATTTATTAAAATTTTATAAAAAAGAAATAAATTTTATTGTTATTAAATTAGCATATGTAATATATTTATCTATTTTTTTATGCTTTGTTATTTTTATAGACTAGTCAATGTAAAAAAAATGTGAATTAATTTTAAAAAAAATTAATTTAATTTCTCTAATAATTTTTTGAATGTAGATTTTAATTTTATTCTTATGACTGATTTATTAAATATATTTTTATAATAAAAATAAATATTTAGATTAATTTTTTAATTTCTAAATTTTCTTATAAATTTTGATTTTCATAATATTTTTTTATATGATGCTCTCTTAAATGTCTATATATATATATATACATATTTATATTTATAAAATCTTTAATTAACATTGAAGTATAATATAATTACTTTTTATAATATTTTGTTTTCCTAATAATCCATGTATCATCAACTTCTGATTTTTTTCCGCATCAACATGATAGAAAAAAATATTTAAACTTTTCAATTGGGTCATTTAAATCCTACTTTTAAAAAACTATCTATTTTTTAAAGGATATTTTCATACTTTAGATTCAAACAACAAATTTTTTTCTCAATATTTATATCAAGATAAAATTTAAATTTTATGAACCTCAAATTCCATTTC